ACTTAAAACTCAAGATTACAAGTAGATTGTGCGTAAGTACAACTTATTAAAGCTCCATATCTGAATTCGTGTAACTAATTGCAGATAAACATAATCAAATTACTATATTATAAAACATTTGACAAAAACTCTTAAAAACTACTTTTTATGCGTAAAGTAGAGATGGCCAAATGGGCCCGGCCCGGCCCGTAACTGCCGGAGGACTGGAACCGGCCCGGGACCGGTATGGACCAGTTGTGGACCGCCGGTTATGGATTTTAACGTTTTCTAGGACCGAGACCGGTTAAGACCGGAAACGGTTATGTAACCGGTTATAGGACCGGCCCGGCCCGGCCCGATCAACAAAAGTCAACGTGTATATATATATATATATAACAAAACGTATTTATGAAATTAAACGTATATATATATATATATACATATATATAGGGTTTATTTCAAATACAACATATCGCGTTTGTACAACCAATGCAACCCAATAAATTGAAATATTCATGGAAATGATTAGAGTTCATTTATTATGATTTAAATATTTATGGAAGATGAATACGGTTCATTAATTATGATTAATACTTTATATTAGAAAATAATCAAAACCTCTATAAAATCACATATTAATCAAATGAAATGGACGATTGAGAGTGAGTTGTATTGGTTGCGCAAATGACAAAGGTTGTATAATAACCAACTTCTCTCTCTCTCTCTCTATATATATATATATAACAAAACATATTTTTAAACGTATATATATATAACAAAACATATTTTTAAACGTATTTATATAAAACATATTACAAACATATTAATAACATATTAAAAATTTATTAATAAACAAAAATTTGAATTTTTTTTTCCTGGCCGGGACCGGTTATGGGACCAGAACCGGGACATGATTCCTTAACCGGTTATCGGTAAGCTTGACCGGTTACAAGGTATTTCACCGGAACCGGGACCGGGACCGGGACCGGTTACCGCCGTTTTTGTCTTGATTAAGACAGGTAGGGACCGGTTAAGGACCGGCCCGGGACCAGATTTTGGCCATCTCTAGCGTAGAGTACTGTTTATTAATGCATATTACTTAAAACTCAAGATTACAAGTATATTGTGCGTAAGTACAACTTTTTAAAGCTCTATATCTGAATTCGTATAACTAATTGTAGATAAACATAATCAAATACAAGATAAACATCTTATTTTAAATAATCTAAAATATAATTAGGATAATAATTGAGTTCTAACAGAATACTTAATTATTATCTTTA